GGGTCTTGTATGCGTGTTTCGGAGACACAACATACATCTACATTGAAAGTTTCGAGGGTTCTAGCCAAGATAGCTTGTTGGCCAATCTGATAGAGCGTGAGGACATTGAACGCGACTGAGTGAAAAGGGGATTTTGGCTTTAAAAATCCTATAGCTTCTGAATCTCTGGCCTTGTTTGTAAAACGCTGAGTGATATTCGATGGGTGGTGTAAACAGGGGGCATCTGGGATTATTCGGGGTTGAGAATAAGAACTAGATAGATGGGAAGGATGGTTTTCCAAATGGGTGCCTAGAACTTTAGGGCGAGACATACTTCGCGGTAGCCCACACTGACGAAGGGGTTTTCTTTGGGAACCCTAACCGGAGCCTTTGACTCAATAATTTGACCCACATGCAGTGAGGCGTAAATTCAACGAGGGAGCGTGAACGAAGCACCCGTGTGGGAGCTTCTGGAGACCTGTCACGCAAGGCCTTTGAATTTCGGTTAAGTTTGTTGTTCGCTGGTGCGTTGATTATCGGTCCGCTTTTCGGGATCAGCCTTTAGCTTCATGCACCCCATGAGACAAAGTAGAGCATATGGTTACGCAGCAGCTTCCACCCCCATCAAATTCCAAATTGTACGATGTTCGAATTCCCAAGATAGTCGGTAAGTGTTGATGTATACTTAGCTAGTTCTCAGAAACTTAATCCGAGGCTGTTCGTCTCCAAACGATCCTCGAAGAAAGAAGCGAGCTTCCCTCCACGTTTGCGACAGTTTGCATGAAAATATCCGAAAAGAGACAACGGTGAGTTTATAGTTTCACTGAAAACATGTTTGTGGGAAAAAAGACGTTACTCATCAGATTCCAGTGATAGTGAGAAAGCGCCTAAGCGCCTAAGCATCCTATGCTGCAAATTTGGATGCCAGTCCACCGATACCGAAAATTTCACCGCAACAGGAGGTGGTGCACGAAACTATTGGATTCGGAAAAACAATGGATAATTCAGAATCAAAGTATATATAACACTACTCGTAATGCCTCTCACCTTGCTATTTCAATCCTACAATCGCTCCTTACTAATAGCCGGAGCGGAGTCCGAGCTTACGACACTTTTTCACGCGAGTTCACTACAGAAGGTGGTGTTGGACAGGATTGTCTTCTTTCTCCGTTTCTATTTCACTTTGTCATAGATTTAATTCTTGAAACAACCCGAGATTAGACGACGTGTATGAAAGTCGATAGCAGCCTGATATGGAACAATACTAACCGGCGTTGCATTATTGTTGGTGCACGTCAAACCACAAACCATGTGCTGAACAGGAGAAAATGGGTTACAGATGAGTGTTGATCACAACGACCGCGGATAATGGTAAAAGTAACTTCAGGGCAGCTTATCAGAGTTCGTATTACTCATGCATTTTCTTTTGGCTCTTATTATTCCTTTTTTTGCATCTACTCCATATTTACACTACTTGTTTCCATTTCGCTCCAATTTTCCTTTTACCTGATTACTGACGTGTTGGAATATGAAAGTATAGTGCAAAAACAACCACAAGCATATTCAGGGCTCAGGCGAGGCATACATTTCGCCAAAGTTCAATGTGTGCTGTAAATCCCTAAAATTTCGTGCAAAAGATTTCCAATCCTTCCCCAAAAGCTCTCGTTGGCTCTTTGACGAAGACGCAACAATCATTTGGTGTGTTCTATAAGTCGATAAAAACTATCTGTCTTCGGAGAATATGCATCAAAAAAGAGGTTTACAAAGTAACTGATCTGTGTTTATTTCTATAGGTGTTTCAGTTTATTGAATTTATGAAAGCATTTGTGAATATCTATTTGAGCGGAAAATAGGAAAATAGTTGTTCGATGAACGAATTCTGTCCACTCCAGTGGGTCGACATCGGCTGCACCCATGGACCTGCTCTAAAAGATCACGCAGGTAACTTTCGATCAAATTCAACTTATTGTTGAGCAGGAGCTATTGTAGGTGATTATTTATACGTTCACGGAGGTCAATCAAGTCGAAGGGATTCGATGTCAGAGGCATGTCAAAATTTGTATCGTATTCAATTGACACCCACAGTGGGCTCTTGGAGTAATCTAACCACGGCTGATTGTCCGTCATTGAGTCAGCATGCATGTCTAAGTATGAATGAACGGTATCTGGTGTTTATTGGTAAGTGCATTGCACCCAATGGTTACTTGTGCATATTAACTACATCAAACAAATGCATCGAGAAGATTACTCAGAATATTAAAATATCCCGACATTTTGCCAAAAAGATGGCCTTAAGGGGCTTTATGAACTTCTGCCTTCCTAATCTTTTATTTGATAAAATGCTTTGCCTAACGTAACAAAAGCTGACACAGCTTCTTCCTGGAGACAGAGTTGCAGACTTAGAGTATGCAGATGATATTGCTTTACTGGGTGTAACACACCCGCCATTCAAAATACGTTGAATCGCTTGGCACTTGAAGTTACCCGGTATTGCTTGCGCTTTGCATCCTCAAAGTGCAAAGTGATGTTACAGAAACCTCTTTCAGCATTTTTGTTGGGTAATATCATCGTGGAAGTAGTCGAGAGCCTTATCTACCTTGAGAGTTGCATGACTGCTGGCGGACATTTGAGGGAAATATCTCTTGACGCTTAATCAAAGCAAGATTAACGTTTGCTAATCTATGGCGCCGGTCCAACACCCTTTTACTGAAAAGGTTCCTGTATATCACAACAGTCCCCGTTGTGTTACTCTACGGCTGTGAAAATTTGCCCCTCCGAGTAGATCATTTTGAACGACTGTCTGTATTCGACCACTGTTGGGATCAGGGTTTTTATCCCTTAGGTGAACAGCCAATGATACCATCACGATGAGACTGCGCTCTGACGCGGTGTGATGACTTGTGCACCTCTGACCTAACGAGCCACAAAGGGTGGCTTTTGTTAAGCCAAAGATCTAATCATGACTGGAGTCTTCGGGACTTCCGGCTTGTAGGCTTTGGAGAAGATCAACAGAGGGACCAAATCAAACGAGAAATGCATTCAGCAGCAAACTTTGCTTGTGGGGATAAGCCGGAAGTTCGTCGAAAACACTTAATCTCTCAGGAGTCAGTAATTCTGATGAAACAAAAGCGAAACATCCCAATCTGCCAGAGTCAAAATATAAATCAGCGGCTTCTGCAGCGACAGCTCAGGAAAATCCCTAGGAAAGATCGCGAAAACTGGTGGGCCAAAATAGCTAGTGAAATGGGATTAGCTTCTGCATCAGGGAATAGTCAAAGACTGTTCAACCTAATACGCAGCACCGGAGCTCGTTACATACCGGTCAGTGAGACCATTTGCGATAAAAGTGGTCAGAGCATCCACAACAACGAAGAATGACTTGATCTGTAGGTAGAGTATTTTAGTGAACAGTTCAATTGGCCCAGTACTAATGCGGTTATTCCGGCAATTACAGCGGAAAACTCATACGTGGTATAATGTGAGCCCCCATGACAATTGGAAGTAAGAAGCTGCATTCAATCACTAAAGAACGGGAAGGCTGTGGGACCTGAAGGACTTCCCCCCATTCTTTCAAAGCTAGGGGGGGGGGTGACTCCCTCGTCGACTTGACTACTAGCTTATCTCGCAGCATTTGATCGGAGGAGTGTATCCCTCCATCCTGGGGTGAATCGTTGATCGTCCCAATCTTCAAGAAGGGATCACGCAACGACTGAGCAAACCACAGTGGGATTAGTTTAGTTCCAATAATCGCAAAATTGTTGACTTCTGTGATATTTCACCATCTGACACTCTTAAGGGAGATGAATACCGGAGAACAACAGACTGGATTCCGACCAGGTTGCAGTTGTATCAACCAAATCTTCACTCTGCGTGAAGTCCTCGAATTATACCGCACACATCGTCGACCAACAATCGCAATGTTCCTTGACCTGAAAAGAGCCTTTGATTCAGTTGACCGTGAACCCCTAATGGGCGTATCGCTTCGTAGAGGAACGCCGCAGAAGTATGTATACCTATTGCGGTCGTTGTGCCTGCATATTTCTGGTGGCGTAAGGGTCTACAGTGGGCTGAGTGAATCGTTCGAATCCAGAAGTGCTGTTCGTCAAGGGTATCTCATTTCTCCATTCCCGTTAAATTTCATCGTAGAGGAAATACTGGAGAACGTACTAAGTGGACTCCAAAATTTAGGCATTTAATGGGTAACTGGATTACACTGACAACATAGTTTGTCTGTTCGAGTGTATGGGGGATGCGCAAAGCGCTCCTGACAGACTTTCAAGTTCTCTCACTTTACACCTTCAAACTGCAAAATGATGCTACCGGCTTTGATACTTAATGGTCAATAATTAGATAAAGTGGATTGTTTCCCCTACTTAAGTCGCTGCGAAACAAATCACGGCAACTGAGTCAAGGAAATAACTCCGCATTTCCAAGCTACCAGTAGCGTATGCAGTACTGATCCATCTTTGATGCCGACGTGATGTTTTCTTGAACCTGAAAGGTTGCGTATATTGCATCACTGTAAAGTCAATTATGCTATACGAGCGCCCAAATGCGCGCGTGGAAGATATACATCGCCTTGAAGTGTTCTTTTATCGATGTTGACGTAGTTTAGTGTGGGTTAATTGGAGCGAGCGTGTAAGCAACTCTGAGATATCCGTCACGTATTTTTGTATGGCGATTGTGAAAAGTTCAGTAGCCTCGGTGGGATTCGAACCCACGCCTGTACGCCGCCTACGCTTTGTACGCGCACGCTCTACCAGCTGAGCTACGAGGCCACACCGATAGCACTGATCGTTAAGCATTCCGTGGAACATTCGTCGTCAAATCGAATTCACTTTAGTCGGTTTTGCTGTTCAGGACATGCCCAGCTATCGTCTACCGCAGCACGCTTTATGTGCAGTTGCGGCTTCAAGTTGGAGGAAATCCGGTGGAGGTCAACAGATGACGCAAAGATGAAGAATGAAGAAATGCACAGAATTGTTAAATAGAGTAGGTGTCTCCCGTCTTCCTGGTTGTTGTCCGGAAAACTCTGTAACTGGTTGGTTGAAGACACTGAAGGATAAGGCAACAAACTGTGAGCAGTGGCGTTCTTGTCATTTCTCATCAGTCCAGAATGCTTCAAAAGGGATGTATGCACGGTTGGGTTGTGCACTGTGTGTTGGTCATAAAGGTTCACTTTCTTTATCTCCCTTCATTTAGGCCCAAACCCTATCCATCTTGTACTTTACCACAATTTGTGTACACTGTGAACTTGACAGCGATCAGTGAAGTTCACTTCTCTTTATCTCGCTATACGATGATGATGATTATGGTTCACCGTTCCGGTCAGGGCCCCGGATGTTGGCACTTCTTTCTCTACGGAAGGCAATGTGTAGGGCTGCTTCAGCAGCAGTAGCAGGGATGATAACTGGGTCGTTGAACTACTGTAATTCATCTAGGAAAGTTGACTAAAACCCTGACTCAAAACCAACCAATAAGTGGTGTCCAAACCAAACATACCCACAACTTCCCTTGTTGTGGCTATGGTCACGGGCTCCTTGGACGTTTGACCCTGTGCAAAGCGCGTCTGATCTGCTGAACTGGATACCGGCCCCAGTGGGTTGCGGTGTACAAACCGCGCTGCTGCCTCGCGGGGTAGGCTTTGGCCAACCGAAGGCACCGGTTGTGGATTCCTCAAGAAAATCCACTTGCTTCGACATGGGCAATCTAGCAGTATTCCGTTAACAAACATCGTGAAAGCTTCTCTTTTTATAAAGATTATTTTACCGAGATTTCTTTGTCACGGAGTCATTTAAGACATCTGTGAATATATATATATATATATATATATATATATAATGTAAATATCAATAATGATTCGTGAACAACACTCGATAGTCTGGAGGTATGGCGCACTCTTCCATTCCGCAAATATCTGGAAAGACACAAATGTGATTTTCGATAAGTAAGAATCACTGACTAAGCCCGAAGAAACACACCAGAGGATTTCTTATGGCCTAGAATTCCTCGATCAACTCAGCAAACAGGCACACCGAACTGTATCATGTGTACATGTCGGTAAAACCAAAGGAACGACTGACTACAAAGAAGAGAAGTAAAGAATTATAACCTAGTATATTTATAATTATCACCGGCTTGCAAGCAAGCTTGGTGCCAACACAACACAAGAATAACAGAAAATGAGGGTGAGTGAATGGGATACAACTTTCGTTTGTTTATTGTTTGTTTCACCGTACAATTTGTTGTGCGAACTTATCGTTTTTTACGGGGCACGAGATTTCAACAGGCAGACCGTACAGCATGCGTACCATTGACTCCTATTCTGGGCCATATTTCTCAGCCTCTCTAACAAACGACAATCCTCATCCCTTAGGCCCCAATCTGAAAGGCGGGCTGCATCAACCGAAGCCAAAGCTGAAGCCAGTTTCTTCATACCTCTACGGTATATCATGGTATGACCGCTGCGGCGCTTATTCCAGCCTTACCCGGCAAGTGCAAAGAGAGCACTGAAAGGTAGTGGGTTGGCAGGCGTACGCAATTTGTGACCAAGCTATCAGAGACGATGTAAGGCGATTACTTCCGTTAGAGAGCAACTATCCACACCCAACACACGACGACGCATCTCGTTTTTGCTCACCCGATGTTCCCACCAGACACGAAACATCGGTGGTCGAATACAGAAAGTCGATTAGCATCCTCAACGCGGAGAGGACAGGTCTCGCAACCGTAAAGCAGAACGGTTCAAACCACGGCGATGTACACCCTTCTCTTAAGGGACAGTCGGGTGTCATGGCGGCGCCGCAGGTGTCGCAGAAAAATAACCCGACTCTAGTTCAATGGCGAACAAAGTTCACAATTGACGGGGTCAATGAACCGAAGCCCTCGCTGGAGTAGATACTATTCGAGTGAACGGACAGAAGCGGAACAACGTTATACCACAGGCACTGAAAATATCAACTTGGCTTGCGATGAAGTATTTGCGAATAAATTGCCGAGTTGAACAAATAACCGAGAATGCATGTCTCCTGCTTATTCTCTCTGTTGTCCAATAATCATAGTTTCAGGGTTTAGTCTTTCAGTTGTTCCGCGCTTCGCTTCATGCATCCACTAAATGCTTCTTCAAGACTGAAAGTAATATCCTTTGTGCAATGATCATAGCTAGTGATCAGTTGGAGATAGTTGACAGATCTGTTTACCTAGGGATTGAGCTGACAACTGATATTGACCCTGAAGACGAAACCACATCATTCGTTGGAGAAGCCCAAATTTTCTCGCCAACCGAAGGAATATGTTTCTCTGTCATGACTTGAGCCTCTCTCAGAAGGGGCGAGTGTACTCTGAGAGTTCGAAATGTTTTGCTCCAAACTTGTGATCCTCCCCACCTGTGGTGTTTGACGGCTTTCGAAATTCGATCAATGTTTTATGTGGAGCATTGTCTGCTTTCAGTTGCAGTAGCATGAATGTTGATGATATTTGGTACCATGTATTGGGTGCAAGTAGTTTTCCCCTTATCAAATTGATTATTCTACACCACTTTCAATTTCTTGAACCATACTTCCCATGTTCGCCCACCGACATTCATGCCGATCACTGGTTATCATTCATGGTAACGATTGGTTGAAACATAACAGCAGTGATTCCACATTATCAAGTAAGAAGGTTGAAAAATATAAACGTATTCCTTTCAGGCTAGGACCATTGCATCTGCGTTGTCAGCATCGTAGAGGGGTTTTTCAGCTAGAATTATACCCTCCTCATATTCCGCCTTGCATTTAATGTAGGAGGCTCTCTTTCTTTCTTTCTTTCTTATTTTCTTTCTTTTTCTCTCTTTTGTATAAGGTGGCTGGACTGGACGTACTCGGACGCCGGGCGTTCATACGTATGACACCGTGTCTCAGAAGTGGTTACCAGCGGCGTTGAACGAACCGTTATTAAAAGGATTTCCTTCTGGTGCGGGCCTGTCGGCTCATTCGGCCATAAAAATGCACGCAAATCAGGTTGGGCTTGGAACATTCGCTTCACTGATTATTGGTCGAGAAGGTTCATTGCGTACGCAGCGCAAGGCCGGAAACATCTATTTGCTGTACGGTTAGTTTTGACCTTACTAACAATGGACTTGCAGTCCGATTTCCCTTCTTATTTACCAAATGTCTAGTGTATATTTCACGTTACCTCTTCTTAAACGATGGAGCGGAATGTTTTGTAATACAGTGAATTCGGTATCAGGATTGTTTGTCCATGTGCAAATAGGTTATCGTAAGAACGAAACCTTCGAGGAATATGCTGCCAGTTCCTCTTAACACACTACTACTTCAAGTGAACTAATTATTTTAACTAAAAGTGGTTCAACATGCAACATCATAAAATTGCTGTTCAACAGTTTCAGTCCGATTTTCTAGTATCATTATGAATGAGCAGTCAGCTTCGCATTTCGAGCATGCAAAAGATCTCAATGTAACTGGACTGCTAACTGAGTCTTATGATACTCATAATGACAATAAAATTCGGTTATAGGTGCTTGCCTTTAAAAGATAATTGAGAACCATTGTCCAGACTAATAGTGCAGAAAGGCACACGACTTCACCTATTTGAGAGACGTTACCATTTCTAACTCTCTGCGTTTAACCCAATTTTGTTTACCCTCTCCAATCAGGTGATATACGCGAGCGTGGGCCTGGTGATCCAAAAGCCTACTACACGTACCGTGAGGCGAATTCCCAGCTAACTACCTCATCCCGAAGTTATCATACCTCGACTCCGGAATCCGAAAACGCATTGATCACAGTGGGCGGAAGGAAAGATCACCTCATTGAAGTGCTAAGTTGGAAATCCAGTTCAAAAAATTCTCGCAGTCCAGAATGGCCGGGTACTCTGGTTTATCCACCAGACACATGCACTTTGGTTACCGATTTGGTCAAACAAGTACGTCAGAAACATTTGAAGGTCTCAGAGGCCGTGATCAAGAACCAGTGGTAAGCATAGGTTTCAATGTCTTTTTTGCAATAGAGAGGGACGATTTATCTATTAATAACTCCCTAAAAAGTCACGGAAAAAATTACGAGCTGTGAGACAGCAACAAATAGTTTCTTACTAGTGCTACTATTACTACTACTACTACTGCCTGTTTGAAGAGGAACAGTTTCACTGTAGGCTACGCTTTTCGGGCAACTTGACGATTGACCCTTTTGATTTTCTGTGTTGTGCGTTGCAATTAGCAATGTTGTCTACATCTCACATTTTTTGTTATACTGACTATTAAATTACCTTGACTGTAGTACGCACGCACATATACAGATGCACCGAAAGAATCCTGGATTTCCTGTGCAAGCCCTTGTTTGTGACTTCTCTATTCAAAGATCTTCGTTTTGATTGAATTAATTTATATAAACTGTAGTATATCGCTGAGGAAATATCTGTACCCATAGAAATGGCACAACGTTACTGTGCAACGTTTCCTTTTCAGATATCTAAAGTCTGTCTCACGATCACCCGCATGGCTTTATATTCTTTCTTCAGAGCCTAGTGATAATCTGAGAGGAATAGATTTGTGTGACTGATGCGGCTAGTAGATGTATGTTTCGTAAGTGATGAAGTTCTACAAATCAATAGATGCTGGTCGTGAATAATCACGACAATACGTTTATGTATGTATCAATGTGTGTGTTTGAGGCACACAAATGTATGTCAAATAACCGGCAGCAATAGACTTAAAGGCATTCCTGAAATTTATTGTTTGAAAATGTGAGCACCTGTACACACTGGTCTTCTCAAAATCCTGTGTCTACCACGTACTACATGTAATCCGTTCGAAAATGATAAAAACCAATCGAATTTTACTGTGTGATTGGAAGTGCGACACATTTGTAAATTGAATTATTCGCTGCATAATTGTCTTTGTAGTAGCTCAAATTTGAGTTTTGGCCCTCCTTGCTCCGGTTTCGGTTACTATCTTTGGTTAACCAAAGAAATAACGATTTGTGGGAAGTTAACTCAAAACAGTCGTACAGATTTCCAATAGAAATAGGTTTATGCCAAAATGTTTAGTTGGGGGAGAAATCATGATAAATTGGGAAGAAAAGTAATCAACATTTCAATTTCATGACCGGATGTTGCTCACACTTTATCGTCAACTAATGACCCGAACGAGCGCATATGTCTTATGACCAAAGTGTTAGCAGCATCCGGTCACTGAACTGGAATATTGACCCCATTTTCTATGGTTTCTTCCACCAAACATTTTGACATAAATTCTGATGTACCAGCCTGTAGATGAATTGCCGCGAACCAGCTTGTTCGCTACTCTGTGCAGTGATAAGATATTCGGACAACAGTAGGTTTATCAGGAAAGAGAAACAATTCTAGAACGCTGCTGCTTACGAGACTCATTTGTTAGACTTGGTCCCAAAATTATGAGGTTTTCGACACGGGTCTAACGCTGTTCCTGTAACCAGGTTTTTCGTCATTGTCTCATTGCCATCACACTGTGTAATAGCCCGGTTGCCCGAGACCACATTCCAAACACTACCTCGACAAACGTCACACGCCGAGTGGACTGTGTTACATTGGTTCGAGCTATCGTAATTTAGGAAAGTTACATAATCAGATGGTCAAATTGTCAAGCCGAAGGCTATTTGGCTTCCGCCGAAAAATGTCTTCATCGGCCTAAGTTTCTATGGTTTATACTTCTTTATTAAATTTTTTTCTCAAATCGCTTGGAGATAGTCATAAAATCATGAATTTCACTCAGTGAACTGCGATGAGTACAACTCAGTTTTTTCCAGTGCATTTTGAATACCACTCAATGAAGAAGCTTTGTGTTCGTCACAAGGCTTACAGTTCCACGTACCACATGTTCTTGTGTACCTGTCTGCCTATCTTTAATCATCCTCTACTGGAAATGATCCTATGCAATTTTTCGAATTGCAGCCAAACCGTAAGATGTATATTAAATTTTTCATTCTCTGGCGTTTATTACTTCAAGTACCAAAAGTGAGTTTTCAAGGCATTCGAATTTGGTATAACAACGAGCTGTCATTGTACAGTAGTTCGATCAATTCAATGTCACACATGATTTCCCTCTCTTATCCCCACTCGTCCACTGCAATCCATTCATTCACCTGTTTTGATTAGTTTTCAAATTTTTTTTCTGTGCTTATCACTTACGCCATTTTTGCATTCAACGCTTCTGGGCTATCAATGATCAAGTCAAAGTGCTCACTGACATCGGGCTCTAAGCCGATGCATCAGATCGCTGTCATTAGTTACTCATTGTCGCACGTTATTATCATTGTTCCCGACTTATTTTTCATGACTCCCCGTCATCAGTTATTTAAAATCATTCGATGCTCTACATATTTGCTTGCCCCTAATTTATTTTCAATGGTTCAAATGATCGATCTTCTTTCGTGAATATGGCGTCTACCCTAAATAATTAGGCTAAAAGGTGATAAAACACAAAAAGCACTCATTGACTCTGGTAAATACAGATATCCTTGTGTATTCATTAACCCAAGAATTTCGTGCTATAATTTGCCTGGCACAGTCTGAAATGAAGCCAGCCTGAAAATCCAAATCCGGGATGCATGTATATGAATGGCCTAACCAACGATTACGTTTACTGGTATCCGACGGGCGACGAAAACCGCAAAAACCGTTGCTTCAGAAGAAATCTTGCTCCAATGTAGATATGTATTTTTTCATTCTGCTTCCTTTTCTGGAATATACAAAGATATCACAATTTTTCAGGAAGGGAGAAGCGGCCAATCAGAGGACTGCCATTCAACACACAAAGGGTAAAGTCAGGCGGCGGTGGT